CCTTATTTCCTCCTTAGGATGTACATTTTACAAAGCTTGACAAAAATAAAAAAAGAAACATTAAAACTTTGGATGACGAAAGGAGATATAAACCAGAAGTGTCACTGCAGAGTCTAAACAAAGGAGAGGAGTGGAATCTGGAAGAAGAAATTTAAACAAACATCAGTCAACCCTGATCCGGTTTGGTTTTCACTGCTGGAGACCCCACCCCTAAAGCAGCAGCGGTGGTGGAAAAAAGTGATCCAGCTTGAACCAGTGCCTTCCAAATATCTATCACCAAAATAAATCTCAATCRGGATGGAAAACATGCGGAGAGTCGGACATGTTTGGCTTAAAACAAAAGCACGCTTGCCTTTTTTTCTCTCTCTTGCTTTGGCGTCTTRCCGTCCACTGGTGGGGGTGGGTGGGGGTGAGGTAGAGAAATGGCTGACCGGCAGACCTGCGTGCTGTTTGCATCTGGTGAGTGTTGCTTGGCTGTCTGAGAGGTAGAGGATCTCTTCGAACAGGAAACCACCCTGAGCCTATGGAATGTGTCCACGTGGGCGTCGTAAAGAATCGTCTGTGTTTCTGAGCGATTTTCCAAACTGTCCGTATATGTGTGAGCGCAGATGCTGTTATGCTTCAGTGTAAGCTGAAGCTTTGTCCTTTAACAGGTCCAGACACAAGTGACAGCTCCAGCTGCCTATAATAAAACAAGAGAGGCAGAAATCTTTGTCCTTTAATCTGGCCATGTGTCTTGCAGCCTCTTTCCGACACATACATCGTCGGTGATGAAAAAACTGAAAGAGTGGCGCTCACCTTCAGGAGGCTGGGTCATTGGAGGCTTCAGGCAGTACATATGATATCCTCTGTCACAGTCGTCACAGAACAGCAGCTGGTCCTGCAAGGAAAACACACAACCCACATTCTAAAAGATACAGAGGACAGGACTCATGATATCAATCATTCTAAACATAAGACCTATATACAGCGGGTAAAATAAGTATTGAACATGTCACTATTTTTCTCAGTAAATATATTACTAGAGGTAATGACATGAAATTTTCACTAGATGTTGGTA